AGAAAGTGAAAAAAAGATATAAGTAAATTTTGATGTGCTTCTTCGAATGTAGTTTGTATAAGAGCTAATAGTTTGTTTTTACTTTTTATATGTAGCTATGAAAAGAGATATAAGGAGCGAATCTTTCTAATCACGTACTCAACAAAAGCTTGTCCATCATCATCAAGGATGCATGATATCATTTTCTCGTACAAGTAACGAATTTTCATTTTTGCTTACAAAACTGAAGTCTTATAAATGATCATATTAAAGGAAAAGTATTGAATATGATTGTTACTTTATTTTGAACGAAAAAAGCGAGAATAAAAATGAAACAATGATCAGTACATCTAGCTACAATCTAACTATGAATCTATTGAAATGCATGCACAAACAAGAGGAAAATGTCATTTCACGCGATGTCATCGAGGATATTAGACTTTATATCCATCTTCATTTTTTTCTGCAGACTTTTTAGCCGATGCTGGAGTATCGATCGAATAAGCCGGTGGTCCGTCCACGACACCTATCTCTACAGTTGTACTTCGACAATGTTGAAATAAACACCAGATAACGATAGCAACAATCATTAGTAAAAGCAGTAGCATATTAATGAGCATAACGGTATTGTGAACAGCAAGTATGCTCACAAGTTTATGAACTCCATTGCGAACTTTTTCATTGATCACAGCTGTTATCTGTTCAAGCAATTTAGCCGCATCACACCAATTGTATGTAATGATTTGCGTATCATAATTTGAGACTTTCGAAACATATGGGCCCATACTAAATCACAATGAAAAGAAAATCAATTAGGAAAAAATGATACATTCTATCTAAACCCCGAATTCAACTCCACTGATTTCGTCAATCGCATCATTTCTCAAATTTGAAAACTTACACTATAATGAATGGAGTTTATCCAAAACAGTATTACACTTTTTAATTTCAGAGAGGGCGTTTCAAGACGAATACCGAGCGACTTCCGACAGAGAGACGAGCAGCCAGCTTCAACAAACCGGAATAGTAAATGGATGAAATTAGTTTCAACACGTCCAACTGAAAGCGCATATGCCCGCATTATCTCTTACGCAATCGTGATAGCAAACTATGATACGTGCACAGATCATGTGCTTCCATCCCATGCCGTCACGATGAGACTGACCATTATTATACGTTGCATGTTCACCTTCACAAGTATATTTATTCCAACTAATCATCCACCTCCATCTAACTCACGTTCCAAAACCAAATAATCACACAAACGTGTATCTACAGGTCGAACCACCTGAAAAGTACATGAAATGTAGCACATGTCAACAATCAAATTTTCTATTATCCTATCTAATACCATATCCTAAAATCCTCCATCCAAAATTATACCAACACACAGAGCAATTAATTCAAAATTGCATTCAACACTTTCACCTATACACAGATATCCTCACACGAAGGAAAGCTCTCCTCCATGTTCGTACATACAATGCAAATGTGTATGACTGCAGACGAAATGAAAATTTCGATTTCCGATTCGAAGTTCCCGACGATCGGAGATATCGATTCCGTTGTTTCTGCATGAAATAGAGCTGCTTTTTCCGAGTCAGAATTTGTATTTCGATGGTTGAAATACACATTGCGAGAGGGACAAATGCTCTCCTCCACGTTCGCATACATGCGCTGTTGGATATGTGTGGACTGTTGGTGAGAATCTCAACTGGGAAGTCGTTTCGACGATCGACGGTGGATATCGTTTGGGATTTTTTTTGGAAGTAGAATTTGTGTTTCGTACACAGAAAAAAAAATCAGCAGAATAATCAACCCTCAAAAAACGTTTATAACTGAAAAATTCGTTTATCAGCGTGATCTACCCCTTGATGAACCCTTTTTTCTTGAAAAACCCTTGAAGGGTTTATTATCCGTTGCAAACTGATAAACGCAAGGGTTGATTATCTCTTGATAAACCCTTTTTTCGTTNAAAAAAGGGTTTATCAAGAGATAATCAACCTTTATTGCGTTTATCAGTTTGCAACGGATAATAAACCCTTCAAGGGTTTTTCAAGAAAAAAGGGTTCATCAAGGGGTAGATCACGCTGATAAACGAATTTTTCAGTTATAAACGTTTTTTGAGGGTTGATTATTCTGCTGATTTTTTTTTCTGTGTGGCTACAGTGGAGATGTGATGCTCAGAGATTATGTTGTGAGAGAGGGAAAGGCTAACGGGTATGTTGTTAAATTTGGTCGATATGGGCATAGGTGCAGGGGAGGCTAGAAGTTGATCGTGAAGTCGAATTTTGTTATTTATGGGAAGGATTGAAGTGGAAGGTTTTTATATATAAGGGGAATGTAGTTTGGATATCGAGCCTCGTGATTTTGGCTATCACATGGTTTGCGAAGTTAGAGATGCTTCATTTCTGCGTTGAATAAGAATTTGCTGTGCTGATTGAATCGGGTAGCGCGGAACTGGGAGGATTGGTGTTTTTACTATGTGTAGAATTGAAGATTTACATTTGATGGTGTATATGTAGGAATCTGCTTATGTGTTTTCGAATTGCATGCACTCTGAGATTTGAAGACGTTTTGGTTTTTCTCAATTATCTTGAGGGTATTTTTTGGATGCAGTAGTCTTTGGCTAAGGTGGTGTGGTAGGAGAGATGAGTAACCGTTTGGTTCCATGCGATTCAAGACCTATGTTATCTCTCATGCATTTGTGTCAGATGACGGCCTGCATAGTGGGCAATGGTTGTATAGGACAGGGTTTTTTTTGAATGCACGGATAATACTCGTTTAGACTGTCGAGCGATTGGAACTGCGGAAACCTGCAGGTGTGATACGGAATAGTCTTAGAGTGCTCTATGAGCTATAGTTGAGATTTTTTTGGAGCAGCAGTTCTGGTGCAGGTATTTAGGCGTTTTCATTATATGCCATTAGCATGGGTATCCGATGACAAATACGAAATATCTATGGCGACCGTATGGCATACGGAGAAAGTGTACTGGGTAGGAAAACCAACATGCTCAAAGCTTCTACAATTGCGCTTCTTATCTTTCCGGTTTTCCATTGCACAACTCGGTTGCTTCGGTTGCAGTTTCGTATGCAAAGACGTTGCTGAATCTGGTTTCTGCAATAGCAGTTGGATTAATTTTCTTTCACTCTGATATTTATTCTCCATTCCAGTCGTTCATTTATAGGCTTCATTGCCACTTTCACACGTCAGCCTATAGATTATATCTTCTCATTCACCCTTCCTCTCACTCTGATCCACCGTCGAGGTTGATCTCAATCTATTCAAAGCCTGCATCGCTACTGATTGACTACATCGATTCTCTGTAGCCACTGCAATACCCATAAACTTATACCACGCGTCGATAATTCTCTTCCAGAGCTCAGACGGCCGCCTTCGCTATCGCAGTTAACCTCGATACTTTCTCCACCGAACATCCACCGTCGACAGCCCCCCCAAACCAATTTTTCGGACGTTTTGGTCAACTTCGAAGAAAATGCTTTTTGGATCTTTGACCGCGACCTCCCCCACCCACCTGTCAACATCCATCGTCAACCACCCTCCCAAACCATGTTTTATGAAATTTTTAGCACTTTTGGAAAAAATGTTTTTTTGACCTTTGACATTTGACCTGCGACAGACACACAAATGAATTTCCGTTTTTCGACCACTTTTTTTCGACATGACCCTCCTGTCAGTCGAGGGAATAAATCATACATATTCGGATGCAGCGCATCAAACTGCATCGAATGCTATCAAAAATTCAGTAGAAAAAATTTGCTCGAGTTTTGCATTAGCCCAACCTTACAATTACAAGGTAATTGTCGTTTCTGAGAGTTCTCAATTTACTTGCAGTGTCATCATTTTCTCTCAAGAATATTGTCTGATATACGTTCTTTTGGTTCAGGTTTCCCGTGAAACTATATGTGTTGAAGTTTTGGACGCTTAAAAGAACGTGTTTTTATAACCTTCGACATTTGGTCTCTGGTAGACATCTGCAAATGAATTTTCGGTAACATTTTTTGGACATCATCCGCTTTTCAGTCGAGGGAATAAAATTGCACGTGTTCGTTCCGAATGACGAGTTCAGTATGAACGTGAAAGGTTGAATCCCACCTTTTTATTTCTGATCGAGATAAAATTCTTTTGAAGATTATATTTACCGCAGTTCTCATTTTCTTGTGTAAGCTTGAGACACTTTTGAGTTACATATGTTTACATGTGCTAAATCTACTGCTATCGGCCCGAATTCTTGCATTTTTGCCCAATACAGCTTGTAAGGCTTTTCGTAAGCTGGCATTTCTGCTAATCCTATTTGTGCGTTATTGATCCTTTCAGAATCATGGTGTACTACGAATATGTCTAGAATTGCACATGCTCGCGAAGGTAAAGTTTCTCGGAAGCAAGTATTTATGACACCGCACCAAATATTATCCAAGCCGTAGCCTAAGCTATTTTTTTCACTTAAATAATCCCAGAGACATGTCCATATCCAAGCTTTCCCGATAACTAATGGCCCAATCTCTACAAAATCTGTCCAACGACCTATTCGAGACGTGTAATTAGAAGAGACTTTGGTTATCTTATGTATTAATATCCCCTCTCCTCTACCTGGAGATGAGAGTAAAACATTATATTTTTCCACGACACATTCATATGCACGCGTATTGAAGTGGAATCTAGCGTCGTCGTCTATTATCCATATATACCGATAAGCTCGCAATATATGAGGAGGGGCAAATCTTTTAACATACCAGAACCGAAACTGACCTCTTACATGAATCCAGACGATTTTATCGTATCCTGAATAATGATTCCAGCTGGAATTGTCGTGAACCATAACGATGTAATCGAAATATTGTTCAGGAAAAACATTGAGTAAATTCAAAGCTAGCCATCGTTGGCCAGACTTTCCTTCCCCGAATGTAATGACCAAACTTTTATTTGTGCCAAAGCAAGGCTCTGGAGTTTTCAAATTGCACCTTTTCTTTCCTTCCAGGCTCAACGCGTAACTACCAGTTTTAATGGAGCTTTCTGAAGAACGGTGATGAAAGGTAGATAACTTATTTTTTCGAGGTGTATTCAGAAAATCGTGAGGCGTTAAATGCCAACTGGGACCATCAGGATTGTTTTGAGGAATTCTAAGCAAGCTAAAAGGTTTCATAAATTTATAATGCGTCACCAGTATCACAATAATGATACCTGATGCCCAGCGTAGACAAAACGATTTAATATTGAGCATTAAATGTAAAGTTCCTTTTCATGGAGGATGTTTGTAAAAGGCTTGTTTAAGATTTTGAAAGTTCAACGATAAAAATATTCGCTGCTTCTAAAAAGGGAACATTTGTCAAATGTAATATTTTTATTGATAATAGCTTTTGACTCTTTGCATTTCATACACACGTGGAAACGAAGAAAAACACTGACAACAACATAACCTCTAAAGGGCGATCACCACTGATATTGTTCTATTATTAGCTCATGTTTTCTTTTGTCGTATTACGCTATTCCAGGCGCAATTTGTTTTATACCCTCGAAATAGAAGGATTTGTATTGATAAGCGACTTATAGGATTCGATAATTATTAAAAGATCACTTCGCAGGCAGACAAGCTACGATAAGAGTCGCGTATTTCAGGGAAAGACGTATAAAACACGTGTTAAAATTCTAACGAGAATAAAAGCGAACATTCTTACAAAACTATTTTCGTCAAAATTTTAACGCGTGTTTTATGCGTCTTTCCCTGAAATACGCGACTTTTGTTGTTTTTCTTCTGAAAAAAAACGTGTCAAAGCGCATTGCAATTCTACAAAAATAAATTTGGGGAAAAGCACACATTTTCAACCGTTTTTACGCGTTATTTTATCGTAGCTTGTCTGTCTGGGTTTCATCCAGAAACTAGAGAATTCAGAATAGTAGACCCGTATGACATGTCTGGACTGATGAATTGAAGTTTTGAGTTGTTTCAGGTCGATCGTGCCGATAAGTCGATCCGTTTAAGGGGGGACTATACCCCCCCGCCCCATGGGTACTAATTTTTTCGGCCATTTTGTAGCTTAGGTTAAGCTGTACATACGCTGAAATTTTCATAGCCGGCACTCTTGCTTTGGCTGAGCTACAGCCTTTACAGGATGTACCCCATTTTTTATCCATTACCCGTCATGGTCTTCGCAAAACGTGTGTGTTAAAAATTTTGACCTCGCTCTTTCGTTGTTCGGTAGAGCACCTAAAGTTGTACTTACAGTAAAATTTTCATGACTATCGAACGAGTAATAACGGAGATATAGCAATGACCCTGGAAAGCTGAAATTTGCCTGCTTAACTGTATTTTGAAAAAATCTTGCCTGTGATCTCTAAACCACTGCATTATTAAAAAAATCTACTCTAACCAAAAGATGCGCCATCAAATTCTGAGTATACTAGGTTGAGGAAAAAGTTCGTGCGCCGTGTTAAAATAATGATTTTTTTATCCATGAATTTATTTAAAAACAACATCTATTCTTCAAAATAAGGACCATCATTGTCCACGACCATCAGCCAACGATCTGCAAGCTTTGGGTTTTGGTCAAAG